TGGGCCTGTGCCTGTTGGTGGTGGGAACAATGAGGGTAAAAATGGAAGTGGAGGAAAGAAGGGCGGCGGCGGTGGTGGAGACCAACACCACAATCAAGGAGGCGGGGGTGGAAAGAATGGAGGCAAAAGTGGGGGCTCTCCGTTGGATGGCAAAACTGGTGGTGGGGGAAATGCCAAGAATGGGAACAGTGGTCAAGGGGGTCCTAATGGGAGCATGAACAATGGCAATGGGGGTAAAAAGGGTGGTGGCGGCGGCGGCGGCGGCGGAGGAGGAGGAATGAGTGAAGTTCAAGCTATGAAAAATGCTTTTCAGAACATGGGTGGCCGTCCTCAGGGCATGCCTGGAGTTAATGTGGGTCAGATGGGCAACATGAACATGGGAATGGGGCCAATGAGCATGCCTATGAGCCAAATGGGCAACATTCCAGCTGTTCAAGGCCTTCCGGCTGGCGCCATGAATGGCGGTGGTGGAGGAGGCGCCGGCGGAGGGTACTTCCAAGGAGGTGGGCCCGAGGCCATGCCTGGTAACCCCTACCAACAACAACAATACTTGCAGGCTGTGATGAACCAGCAAAGGGCAATGGGCAATGAGAGGTTCCAACCAATGATGTATGCTAGGCCACCACCTGCTGTCAACTACATGCCGCCCGGCCCCCCACCTCCATACCCATACCCATACGCTCCTCCTCCAGCTGGTGAACCATACACTCACTTCTTCAGTGATGAGAACACCTCAAGTTGCAATGTGATGTGAAAAAGCAAAATCAAACAATTGACTGAAAATTGGTCCTGCTGCTGCTGATTTGGGTTAATTTGCTGAGTTTGTGGTGGTTCTGGTGATGGTGATTGCAGTTAATGGTTCTAAGATCTGATGCCATATTATACATGGAAATGCTTTTTCTTCCCTTTTTTTAGTTTAATTTCTCCTCTTTTTTTTTTTCCAACTTTGATCATCTTACCTTTTAATCCAAGTTAATTAGGGTTTTAATTAAGAGTAGGGAGTATTTATAGATAATATATTTAAAGTAATTAGGGGAGGAGATGGGGATGTAAGTGGAGGGAGAGGAGAGTGTGCTCTGCACTGCTGTCTCTCTCTCTGTTTTTTATGAGGATGTTTATATATGTTTATAAGTTGCAGAAACAAAAATAAGATGAAAAGAGGAAGGGAGGCCCCATCTCTCTCTCTATCTGCCCCATTTTCTCTCATAATTTCAATTCCAAATCCTCTCTTATTTTTATTTGATCAGAATTGTTCACGGGCTTTGCGCATTATCTATGTACAAACTTTGCTTCAATGTGATTGACATCATGGATGTTTTGGGCGGTAGGTCCACTTAAATGAGTAGGGCTGGTGGAAATCTGGACCCACCAATCCTCAACAGTGTGTTTCAAGTATGCCCCGCCAACCACTGTTTACAAAGATAAAAGAATCATTGATTTGATTCTCTCTAAACCCAAAAGAGGTAATGCGTGAGTTCAAAATTTTAAACTAAATGTTATTTAAGTGTTAATCAATGTATTTATTTTTTTTATTGATGATACATTATTTAATTTATAAATTTAGTTTAACAATTTGATCTCTCCTATTGAAAGTTCAAACCTTCAAAGTGTTTTTGTTAAAACTGAAATTAAAATATGAATAGAAAAGAAAATTTTGTATAAAGGGTCCTCGAAAGGAGGGGTTAGGGTTTTGGGGGAGTTAGAGTGTCGCTTCGTCTGCTAGGGTTAGGGTTTGCATGAAAGTTGACTGTACGGGGTAGAAAGCAATACTGTGTTGATCTCTTGGTGGGGCAGAGTATTCTGGGGGTCGTCGCACATGGATGATCCAAGGATGGAGGAATTGGGGCATAGGTTTGGGTTTAACCTTAGGCTGTCTGATAAGGAGCGGAAGTGCATTGTTATAGGGAAAAAAGAGGTTGAGGAGGCTTTGCTTGGATTCCACTTTTGTGTGGTTGCAGAGGTTCTCACTGCAAAGGAGGTGCATAGGGATGCTTTCATTGATCGGTTTACTTCTCTATGGCGAGGGAGGAGTGGGGTCTTACTTAGAGATTTGGGGAATCGGCGCTTCCTTGCACGTTTTGTTACTAAACAGGATATGACTTGTGTTGTTGATGTAGATCAACCGTGGACGTTCAAGGATGATTTAGTTATGGTGGCGGATAGGACGCAGATGGGTAAGAATCGATGGGAGCCTCTTACTCTTGGGTCTTTTTGGGTGTAGTTTCATAACATTCCACCCCTTAGCATGACTGGGGCTATTGCATATGCATTTGGTGGTCTGTTGGGTACTGTGTTGACAGTTGATAGAAGTGCGAGTAAGGAATGTATTGGAAGATTTCTGAGAACAAAGGTTCGTTTTAACGTAAAGGAACCACTAATGCGATGCACTTTTGTTCAGTTTCCTGATAAAGGATCAATTTGGGTGGACTTTAAATATGAATGTCTACCAAACTATTGTTTGATCTGTGGTCATATGGGACACCCTATTAGAGTGTGTCGAGATTCTTTGGATGGGGTTACTGCTGTGGGTGTTGGTGGACGGACGTACGGCTATGCTTTTATGGGTCTTAATGCGGTATCGGATTTACGTGGTTATCCACTTCGGTAAATTAATTGACAAGGGTCGGGGTTAGGGGAGAGTAGTGGGTGTAGTAGTCCTACACTGAGACCATTTGGTAGGGTGGTGGAGAATATAATACATGGAAGTGGTAGTGAGTCCTTGATTGGCAGTGACGAGCAGGATGGTGCGCAAGGGGGAGGTGTGATGACGATGGATGGTAACTTGCATGGCACGCGGGTGGAACAAATCAGGGAAATAAAGGTGAGGGAGGAATTGGAGTGGCAGGCAAGGGAGAAAGCTTTTGACGAGGGGTTGATTAGGTCGGGGGGAACGGTTGAGTCTGGAGTAAAGAATGTGGTATTGTTTAGTTTGGATGAGGTGGAGAATGGTACTAAGGGTGGGGCTGTGTCTGAAGATCTTGGGGGTGGGTTTGATTTGAATCTTATGCCGATGGACGGTGATCTTGGTGGTGAGAGGGTGGGAGTGGTGATCAAGGGAGAATCAGAGCTTCTTCCAGTGGGGGGTAGTCAAGATTCGGATCCCTTTAATTTGGGGCCAATTATTGAGGCTATTTCTCGGGAGAGGAAGATGAGGAAGCGAGGGTTAAAGGAGGTCGAAAGGTTTGATGCGGCTCTGGCTATAGGGGACTTTAGGTGTGTTTGACGTTGGTCGTCAACTGTTCTGTCTGAGGCTGAGGAGACCAGCCTTGAGGGGTCTCCAAGTGCCCAATGAAGCTACTAGCATGGAACTGTCAGGGTATCGGGGGTGACCTGACATTTGACAATTTGATGGAGCAATGTAGGCTTCACACCCCCGACATGGTGATCCTACTGGAAACAAAGAACAAATCTAGGCGCTATGGTTATCTAAAAAGGAGGATGGGAATGGAGTATATGCATGCAGTGGAACCTTGTGGCATTGGTGATGGGATGTGTTTGTTTTGGAAGGATGTGTCACATGTGTCTCTTATGAAATATGCAGATTTTGTCATTGAGGTTAAAATATGGGATAGTCGTAAGCAGTGTTTTTGGCGCCTTTTTGCCATTTATGCTAGTACGGATGCGAAAAAAAAGAAAAGGAGCAATGGGTGGCTTTGAGTGGACACCTTGAAAAAGAAAGTGATAGATGTCTCCTCATTGGGGATTTTAATGATATTCTGAGTAATTATGAGAAAGAAGGGGGTAACTATAGAATAGTGGCTAGTTTGCGGGACTTTCGTGATTTTGTGGCGTGGAACGAACTTATAGATTTGGGCTATGACGGTTATTCGTTCACATGGAGGAATAATAGGGAGGTAATGCCAATTCAACAAAGATTAGATCGTGGTTTGGCAAGTTTGGGATGGTATGAGCTCTATCCGGATACGAAGATTCTACATGTGGTGTTGGAAGGTTCTGATCATGCCATGCTTGTTCTTTCCATGGAGAAGCAGTGGGTTCGGAGGGGGTGACAGTTTACGTATGATGCGAGGTGTGGAAAGTTAGAGGAGTGTCGAGACTTGGTGGCTAAGGAATGGGGGGGGAGTTATGGGGGATCTTATGCTTACGGGGGTTGTGAGAAACTTAAGAGATTAAGGGGGTGTCTTCGGGTTTGGTATAAGGAGAGGGGTTAGAATTCTAAGAGGACAATTGACCGGTTGAAAGGTGCGCTCCGGCTGGCTTTGCAGTAAAATAATTTTGGTTCGGCGGAGGTTAGATGAATGGAAAAGAAGCTCCGGATAGCAATTAACAAGGAAGAGGCTTATTGGCGAGTGAAGTCGAGGGTTCAATGGCTTAATGAGGGTGACAAGAATACAAAGTTTTTTCATGCCCAAACAATGAAACGCCGGCGATTCAATCAAATTCGAGGGTTGGAGGATGGGAATGGGATATGGCATGAGAGTGAAGCGGGCATTTGTTCGATTGCGATCTCTTATTTTTCTGAGTTATTTCAGTCATGTTGTCCGAGACAAGTTGATGAAATTGTAGGTTGTGTTGACTCTTGGATGACCCATGAAGATAATGAGGCTTTGATTGCTCCAGTGATAGAGATAAAAATTAAAGAGGCAGTTTTCCAAATTCCCCCCTTTAGAGCTCCGGGACCTGATGGGTTCTCTGGTAGTTTTTATTGAGACCATTGGGATGTGGTGGGGAAGGATGTGGTCAATATTTTTAAAGCTTTTTGGCATTCTGGGTCACTTTTACGGAAACTTAATCATACAAACTTGGTGCTGATTCCAAAGGTGGGGTGCCCGAAGAATATGACTCAGTATAGACCTATTGCTTTATGCAATGTCCTTTATAAGGTGATTTTCAAAGTGCTTACAAACAGGTTAAAGAGAGTAATGCCAAGGCTAGTAAGTGAAAATCAGTCGGTATTCTTGGCGGGGAAACATATACAGGACAATATTCTTGTTGTGCATGAGATTTTACATTCCTTAATGCATCAAACGAAGGAGGATATGGCGGGTATGGCTATAAAACTTGATATGGCAAAGGCATATGATCATGTAGAATGGGAATTTTTGCTTGCTATGATGGCTAAATTGGGGTTTGCGCCACAGTTTTGTAGGTGGATTAAGGAATGTATTTCATCGGCTTCTTTCAATGTTATAGTGAATGAGACTCCTCAGAGATACATTCACCCGCAGAGGGGGTTGCGGCAGGGGGATCTAATTTCCTTATATTTGTTCCTTATATACATTGAAGGGTTTTCTGCTTTAATTCAGAATGGGATGGAGAGAGGTGCTTTGCATGGGTTTAAAATGACATATACTGGTGTACCGATTTCGCATCTCTTTTTATGGATGATTCGGTATTGTTCTGTAAGGCATCGGTGGAGGAATTGAAGGGTGTAGTGGAGGTGTTGAAGACTTATGCGGCTGGGTCCGGGCAGGAAATCAATTTGAGTAAGAGTTCGATCTCTTTTGGCTCCAAAACTCCAAAGAAGATTAGGAAGACGATTGAGAGAATTTTCAATATTCAAAGTAAGGATGGCTTTGGGAGGTATTTAGGGCTACAAGCGGACTTCAGGCATTCAAAGAAAGCTGTTTTTGAGGAGGTTAGGGAGAAAATTGAATCTCGTATGGTGGGATAGGCTGAGCAGTTTATTTCGCCTGCAGGGAAGAAAATTCTTATTAAGGTTGTGGCCATGGCGACGCCAAACCATGCCATGAGTTGTTTTAAGCTCCCTGTTGGTGTATGTCGTGACATAGAGAAGGCCATTAGGAACTGTTGGTGGATGGGGAATGATCAGCGAAAGGGGGTCCACTGGGTTGCTTGGGATAAGTTAACTAAGCAAAAAAATAAAAAATAAAAAAATAAATAAAAGAATGGAGGGTTGGGTTTTAGAGATTTACAATGTTTCAATCTTGCTTTTTTGGCAAAGATTGGGTGGCGTTTACGTCACAATTTGGAGTCTCTTTTAGGGCATGTTTTGAGGGAGAAGTATTTTCCAGGTAAGACTTTCAGGAAGGCCAGTGGTGGGAGAAAAACGTCTTGGGGCTGGAAAGGTATCTTTGAAGCACGTAAGGTGCTAGAAAATGGGTTACGTTGGCGTGTAGGCGATGGGGTGAGTATTAATATTCGAGCTGATCCTTGGTTCCTTATGCCTTCTACATTTAAGGTTCGGCCATGAGAGGGTTTGCAGGCAACAACGGTGAGTGAACTAATTGACAAGGATTTGAAGGCTTGGAATAAGGACTTCATCTTCGCTGGGTTTAATTATGATGATGTGACACCTATTCTTAGCATACCGATCAGTAGAATGGGGTGTTGTGATAAGATGGTGTGGCACTACACGACTAATGGGGTATATACGGTTAGATTTGGTTATGGGGTAGCTTGGAGTCTTTTGGAGAATGGAAGCCTAGGGAGGAAGGGGAGGGGTGCAACAAGTGGAGTGTCGGAACGTATTCAGGTGTGGAATAGGATTTGGAGTTTAGAGGTTCCTAAGAAAATGAAATATTTTGTACGGCGGTGTTGTAATAGTGCTTTGGCAGTCCGTCATAATTTGCAAAGACGACGTATGAGGGTGGATAATGTTTGCGGGGTGTGTGGCACAGTTGATGAGATGGAGAACCATTTATTCTTTCAGTGCAAGTTTAGTCACCTGTTTTGGTTCTCCTCTGATCTCCAACTCAATTCCTTTCATTTGGAAGGTCCTGACTTTCTTGGAAGTTGGGAGAATTTCTGTAATCGGGTTCGAGGTATGGCAAATGAAGTGGAGATCATGCAGGAGTTTGTCTTTAGGTTATGGCGATTGTGGAAAAATCGAAATGAGGTTGTGTTTAATGGTGTTTCTTGTTAGCCTTTGGAGGTGGTGGAGGTTTGGAAGCAGAATATTGCTAAATTTAGGGGTGCCAGAGCACAGAAAGGTGTGGAGAAGAGTCCACAGATGGGGAATGTGGCAATAGAGTCGGTGCCGAGGAGGGTGCAGTGGAAGCCACCGCTGTTTGGGACTTTAAAGGTCAATTTTGATGCTGCATGGTGCAAGGATATATTGCGGGCAGGTGTGGGATGGGTTGTTTGTGATTTTGCGGGGTTGCTGCAACCTGCGGCTGGCTCGGGTGAGCTGTTTTGTCACTCTACTGCTGCAGCGGAAGCTGTTGCTGTTCGGGATGCTTTGGAGTTTTGTTGTAAGCAGGGGTTTGATCAACTGGTGGTAGAATCTGATGCACGGGTCATTATCCAAATGTTAAGGAAGGAGATGCAACATGATTTTACTTTAGAATGCATTCTTGGTGACATTGAGAGTCTGGTGCAAAGTATAAGGTCTGTCACTTTTGCCTTTGTGCCTAGAGAGGGTAATGGTGCTGCTCACTCGGTGGCTAAGTTTGTGTTTCAGGAGAGAAAGATGTTTTTATAGGATTGTATTGGTCCAGAGTTTTTGTTTAATATCTTAGCCTAAGATGTTAATCTTTCTATTCGTTTATAATAAATTTTTCCTTTGAAAAAAAAAAAAAAAATACATATATAGATTTAATGCTTGACCAAAAAAAAAAAGAGGATAGTTTTTAATGCATATGTCCTAGTGTTATATTCAAGAAATACTTTTCCCCTAAAGATAATGAGTTGTTACATGTAAATAGCAGTCATTAGTGTTTTTCACATTTCATGTCTCCTTTTTCTTTACTTTTATTTTTTTCATTAATTCTCCCCACTATCATTAAAAAACTGATTTATGTACTCTCTTTAATGATTTGTTTCAAAACAAATCAAGAGTCGTAATTAAGGTAGAGATGTGAAGAAGATAAAAGAGAGTATATAAATCACTCTAATCATTTCCAAAGCTAGAAAAAAAGATGAAGAGGATAAGCAAACACTTTTGTTTCTCTTCCTTAATTTTATCTATTATTTTTGTTAATTTGTTTAATCTATAGTTATAAATAAATAAAAATGTGCGACAGATTAACTAAAAATAGTGTGAAAATCAATTCAAAAAATAAATAAAATGGGAGTGGTTTTGAAATAAAGAAAACTAATGAAAATAATTTAAAGACTTTGAGTTTTAAAAATAAGGAGAAAATAAAGAGTAAAGTGAATAGTATAAGATTGATTTTTTATTAAAATAAACAGTACTGAAACTTTTTGTTAAAATTTTCTTAGAAATGTGTACTGTGAATTCTGTGTATATCGGGTAAAATGAGAAGAGGAAGAAACAAAGTGTAGAAGGTGTTGACAAAGACAAGCTAACAACTTTATATTTTGGAGAAAATCTAACGGCGTTGACACTTTGAACAGAATTCAGGTCTGCGTCTTATCACAGAAGGAAAGAAGGAAAGAAAGAGAATCACCACAAAAAAAAAAAAAAAATTATAAACAGAGAGGAAGATGAAGGTGGGTGGCCCCCATAACACAAACATGATGCGTTGGATTCGTCACATGATGATCATGATGATAGTGGAGGAGCTGCACTGCTGCTGCTGCAATGCTGCCATGCTGCCATGCTGCCATGCTGTTCCGTCGTCGAGCTCCATCCATCAGCCACTGTCTAATCAGATAGCGATTGATGGGAAGCTCCGTGTACCTTCCCAAAAGTACTTCTCTGTTCCCCTCTGCTTACCATTCCCCCGCATATAATTATAATAAAACTTTGATTAACGAGAAGCAAAAGTTTAATTAGTAAGTAACTAAATGGGTCAAGCTTTGGGTTGCTAATTTACTAATTTAGTAGCATAATCAGTAAACTAAAGTCTAGTAGGATTTTTTTTTTTAAGTTTAGCCGGCTGCAACCAATGACTTGTTTGATACTTTGTGTTTGTCTTAATAGATTATTATGGTAAGAGTTTTTAATTGAGATTGTACATAATATTATACTAAAATAAACATGCGATGTAAGACTATTATTTTATATGTTATGGTAATGGTTGTTACAAGTTAGAGGAATCGAATTGTTGACATAATTTGTAAGTGGTCGATTGTTTTTATGGATAAATTTTTTCTTTTTAACTCGTTTTTCATATTTAAACACTCACTATAGTATATATTAATTTAATGATACCGTTTGTAATAAAAAAATTAACCAAATTCAATTTCAACTGGTTTCCAACCACAATTTACCTTTTAAGTTAGCTAAGAGTGTATGATGTTAGACTGTTAATCAAAATTGTACATTACCAAACGACATCAGTAACAATATATTATTAACAATAATGCTATTTATATATGTAAAATTGTCCACATACTCCTTAATAGAGGTGAAAGCCCTTAGTTGTATGAGAAAGAAACATGTTATATATTTAAATAGTGTTACTATATTATTAAACGATGATTTTGATATATTATTAGATTGTTAAGTGAGACTGCACATTCATATATTATTACTCCATCAAGAGTAAATACATTTTTGTTTGACAATAGAGGATTTATTTCTCTGGGTGGTTAATATTTATGGGGATGCTAGCAACATTTTCAATCGAATATTTTGATTACCTTCCTACTTATTATTTTTTATTTTTCAACGTGTCTTGATGATTGGAAGAGTCTAATTTCTAACCAAAGTAGAAATTCTTTACCCGTTTGATTAACGTGGTCAACATTTTAGTGTTCGAGTGAGAAACACGGATCATCTATCCATTGAATAACTGTTAGATGATTTAAAGTTGTACATTTAATTAAGGTTTGTAAATAATATTTAAAGAGTTATATAAAAATTAGACAGTTCGATTTTTTGTAATATATTGCAGTAAGAACAACAAACCAATAAATGAGAATGAAAATATTGATAGAATATTCATATTTTCTATAGAGAGAATGCTCATCTACTCCTTTAACCTTTACTAAACTTATGTGCTTGCTTGCAAGATGAGCCAACAACAACTTGTGTATCAGGCTCTACGGACCACGGTTGCACGGGTGATCAGAGATCCGAACAAAATATTTAAAGAAAAATTAATGAAAATGATTTGAAAACTTTGAATTTTAACGATAAGGACAAAATAAAGGGTAAAATGAATAGTACCATAATTGATTTTTTAATGTAAAAATGTAATTTTTTGTTAAAACAAATAGTACGGGAAGCTTTTCGTTAAAGTTTTTAACGTTTAATGCTGGTAGCTTCAGATCCAATATTTCCTCACCCTGATTGGTTAACTAGACTCACATATCCTCATCCTGGTTTGGACCCATCCAATCCTCAAGGTGAATGGTCGTGACCCTCTGTCCAAACGTCAGAACTAGGGTTACCAATTGTCACTCATGCATGCTTACACGTGGCAGGTGAAACGAGGACGACTTTGACGGGCAGCTGGAGAATCATGCATGTATATTCACAGTTCACATGTGATGGTTGGTGTATGGCTGCATGCCTGTATGGCAGTATGGATATATGACGGTTTGGTTCAGTTTCAGTGGGTTTTTTTTGGATTTATTTGCAAAATTATTGGCACACACTCACACGAACGTAACATTTCACAGCAACATTTTCTTCTCTGCTTCATCAAAATCGTGTTTCTTGTTTTGACTTTCTTATCTTTTACTCCTTTTGCAAACTACTATTGTTTCTTTCTTAGATTTTTCACATTATTGATGTGCATATTATGTTATTAAACTGTTCAGATGTAATCATTTAAGAAGAAAGCATCTTCGTATATAACA